AATTATGTAACACTTCGTTGCAGGTCCCACTTGCAGATGATAAATGAATTCAGATATAAGAAAGTACAGAATTCATGAACGTGGCAGTAAAACGAAGATGATATTGGTTAAAGCCAAGATAACCTTCCTATTGCCAGACCTACAAAGAGGCACTTCCATGAGCATTCACCTCTGGCAACCCTGAAAACGAATCTAATCTTAACACCGCAGAAGAAATGAATAAAACCGCTCTCGACCAACCCCAGGTTTCCCCAATGCACTCCCTTTTCTCCCCTTTGTTTTTGTACTCTTTTACTTTCTTTGTCCCCACTGCAATGAATAGAAGTGCCCAAATAACAGGGGGAGTTGGAGTTGTGTTTTCCATGAAGTTCCATGCACATAACAAAACTTGCACATCTTTCTCTTGAAATTGAAGCACCTTGCATTTTCTCTGTTCCTAATTGCCTATACAGTGGTGAAAAAACTCCCCTTTCATGATAACTGGGCAGCTTTAAGATTTGTTTAAAAATATCCTACATCCTGCATTAACATTCCCTATGAAAGCTGATGAGAAAAAAGGATTTTATTATAAGGCTTATTTAGTAACACGTTCTGATTCAAATGATAAGGGCATATCCTCCATGAGCTAAATCAAATAGCTAAATCACTTCATAGAACAGTCCAAATATGCATTTAATGTCTTGTGCCAAAAGACAGCGTCATGCGTTGTTTTCTTTTTAATGATCAAATGTAGACTCCCAAAGATCGATCAGTGGTGATTCTGAAGCTGTCTTCTTGCCAATCAATCTAGATAATTATGAAAAAGCATATATTTATGAAGATAACAATGTTCAGTGAGCGGTAAATATCAGGCATGTCTAGACCACAAATTTGTATCAGTTTCATGCCATTTTAAAAGCTTGTAGCTAAAGAATCTCAAGAAACATAGTATGGTGAATGTGATTTGCTACTTTAAAAGCAACTACTTAGGGAGAGATGCTACCATCATGAGGTCTTATCCTACACACCAACAGAGAACTAAGTTTGCTAAGGCTGTGAATGCACTATATCTTTAAAGCCTGTCTAAAGCACACAACTTGCGCACATTCAGCTTTATGAATGTGGCAAAAAATAAATAATGGAAAGCAATCAGGGTTGTGGGAAAAATGACTTGGGAAATCTCACCTCCATGGAGCCCAGTGTGTTTTGACTATACACGATTTTGGCTTTAAGTGCAAACCCCCACGTGAGCTGCGGGCTTAATGTATAGCAAAAGCTTTTGGAGGGAGAGGCTCCCACGGAGCAGTTCAGTGTGGACCAAATATGCTCAATGGGTATGAAATGCTGGCTGGCTGCTGGAGGAAGGATTGGAAAACCAAGCGCCCGGGCTGAAAGAAAAGGAATGGAATAGAATATACTGGAAGAACGCACAGCATGCTGGCTGGATCCATGAATGCCAGCACTCCATATGACGTCATTTTGTTGCAGGACCTACTTCTATGTATACATTATTGAGCATGTTATTGTATACAGTGGTACCTCCGGTTGCGAACTTAATCCATTCCAGAGGTCCGTTCGTAACCAGAAACCGCTTGTAACATGAGGCGCACTTTTGCTAATGGCACCTGCTGCTGCCGCCACGCCACCGGAGTGCGATTTCCTCTCACATCCTGGGGCAAAGGTCGCAACAAGGAGACCTACTTTGGGGTTAGCAGAGCGCATAACCCAAAGGATTCGTAAGGGGACGGTACATAACATGAGGGACCACTGTACAGCACTATTTTTCTGTTTAAAACAAAGGTGCTGGAACTCACCAAGAATGTTTCCTTTGTTCTCTTATAATAGCAATGGTGCCCACCTGAGATGTTCCGGCAAGTTCTGGCTGAAAAAAGCCCTGGTTGTACAGAGGCCAGGCTTCATTTGCCTGTTGCAATTACAGTAATACCTCCGCGATTGTCCGCCTCGACTAGCGTCCATTCAGGCGAATGTCCGCGGCAAACCTGGAAGTACCAGAAAAGGTTACTTCCGGGTTTGCCGCTCACGCATGCACAGAAGCGCTAAAACACACATTGCTCATGTGCAAAAGCGCAAACGCTCTGCGCGCATATGCAGAGGCGGTGCTTTGCCTTGCATCCTTTTCAGCTAGCAGTCAGGGCTCCGGAACGGATCCAGGTCGCAAAACAAGGTACGACTGTAGTCAGGTTCTTGGTTCACTCAGCAAAGTGTAAACGCTACCTGAACTGGGTCATTAAATGGGCTCCATTCAATTAATTAGTACACCAATGGGCAGTTCATCTAGTTTAGGTTTAGTTCAGCCATTTCCAGCAATCCATGGGTCCAAAATGCAAATCATCTGACTACAAAGAAACAGATCTCAGTCCAGCTCACCATTTCCTCTACTCTTCATCGTCTGCATTATTCTGCTCCTTCTTCTTCTTCTTCTTCTTCTGACCTTTCTTCTTCTTCTCGTCTCTCTTCTGCTCTTTGCTCTGCTGACTTTGGTCTTCGTTCAATATTTTCTGAAAATGCAGTGTTAATGTGTGTTTATACACCCCCCCACACCACTTTCAAGATCTTCAGATCATTCTGACGCTGTCCCTCAAGTTCAGCAACATGTTATTCTAGTTTATGTTTATTGCTTTGAGAGGCATATGTCCAAAAGACAGTTTTAGCGCAGGGATTCCATGACCTTTTATAAGCTCTGTGCTAAATATCCACATACCTTTTTTTAAAGCATTGGAGGGAACTATTTGCGCCGGCAAAGATTGCTTTGAACACGGTGGGTACAGAATTTTCTCAGTAGAGAAATAAATATTGCAGGGTCCAGCAAGGGATCTTGCATTTACTTTTTGAGAATGACAAGGTGGTGAACGGTCTTCCTTAACCCCCAAAACATTGAGGGTAAAGCCTGCCTGCACTCTCTCAC